GTAATGCTAGAAGTATAAGAAATAAAATAGATGAACTTAGAGCACTGGTAGGAATGGGGGATTTTGATATAATGGGAATAACTGAGACATGGTTAAACATAGATTATTTTGATGACAGAAATTGTTTTGAAATACAGGGTTACAGGCTATTTAATAGAGACAGAGTATTAAAGAGGGGAGGATAAGTGGCTTTATATGTAAAATGTGAGTTACATCATGTTGAAGTTGAGGATATCAAAGATAATAGCAAAGAGATTGAATCCATTTGGGGTTTCTGTTAGTGGATATAAAAGGAAAAGGCTTTTAGTGGGAATTTGTTATAGACCACCAAATGATACTGATGAAATTAGTGAGAAACTTTACAATGAGATTAAGATCTCAGCTGTTAATTAAGTCATAATTATGGGTGATTTTAATTTCAGGCTTATAGATTGGGGAATTCTAGAATCAAACTATGAGGGAGAAAGGTTTTTGGAAACTGTTTAGGATGGCTTTCTTCACCAGTTAGTCAAGGAACCAACTAGAAACAATGCTATATTAGACTTTTTGCTAACTCCAAATATAGAAATGATTAAGAGGGTGGAAATTGGGGAACATCTGGGTGCAAGTGTTATTAGGTTCACTGTTTCGCTGCATATGGAAATAAGGAATAATGATATTTTTGGTTACAAATATAAAAAAAGCAAATTTTGAAGGGATGCGACAAGAGTTGTCTGTTGTGAATTGGGCAGCTGAGTTATTTGGAGACACTGATCAGATGTGGAAAATTTTTAAAGGTATATTTTTGAATATTCAATGTAAACATATTCCTAATAGAAAGAAGAGGGTAACTACAAGTGAAAAACCAGGTTGACTCGCAAAGAGTTTAAGAAATAAAATTAAAGAAAGGCATCATAAATTTAAGAAATTTAAATTGACTGGTATGACAGGAGACTTAGAAGATTATAGAAGATCAAGAAAGTTGGTGAAACAGGAAATTAGGACATCAAAAAGGATGTATGAGAAAAAGTTGGCTGAAAATGTAAAAATTATCAGTAAGGATTTTTTTAAATACATTAAGGGGAAAGAAAATGTTAGAATAGAGATAGGACCCTTTAGGGATGATAAAGGAAGGATAGTATATGATGATTATGAGATGGCTGGGTTATTAAATTTTGCTTTTTCTTCGGTTTTTCTGATGAAGATTTAAGCAGTATTCCATATCTTGATCAGTTGATAAATGAAAATGAGATCAAACAAGATGA